ACATAAATTTATGTTACTTATGTATATACAAGTAGCTTTCGATATAGGAAACCTTCGATGTAAGAAAACTCTTGGTATAAGAAAGTTCAAATTGAAATTTTATAAGAAAAGTCTTTGACATATGAAGTTTCGATATAAGAATGATTTTACAAGTTCAAATTGAAATTTTATAAGAAAAGTCTTTGACATATGAAGTTTCGATATAAGAAAGATTTTGGCTGGACGCGGTGACTTTTTTTTATATAAAGAGCCAGTTGTATTCATTAATATTTTATCGTTGATTTGTATATTATTTTCGTGTAACCGTGTTAAACTTTTGGAGGCGACTGTACGTATGTACATGATATGAGTGCTGTCAAGGGAAAACCTGTCATCGGGCTTTCAATTTTATCTTGTACCGAACACAATCAATAATAAATCAAATAGATTGAGTCCGATACAAAATATAATTGAATGCCCGATGACAGGTTTTCCCTTGACAGCACTCATATAAGCAGAAAAACGGAAAGTAAAAAATTATGAAAAGTAGAATAAAGAATTTTCTCTTTGCTTTACATTCTCTCCTATTTACAAGTCATAATCTTAAAAAAGATTCTCTGTATGCATAAAGGCAAATACAGTTACACCGTAATTACGCCATTGAAATTCTTAGAAACTTTATAAAAAAAAAGATCTTATATAGAGAATGTGTTTATATAAATAATTATTTGTATATAGTTAATAGCAATTGGTTCAAGAAATAAATGTGCTTATAAAAAAATTTTCATATGCTTTATGTGGAGTGCTTATATGATATATACATAGATAAAGATTTGAACACACTTAAGTTTACTTCTTTTTGAAAATAGAATTTTATTATCCAAAGTGTGCTCCTGACAAAACAAAGTTTGGGAACCTATGAACTGTCTGGCCTTCTGTTTCTTGTACACTAGTAAATGGATCCGTGCCTTTGGTTAAATTTTCATATTTTTGTTCAGCAGTAAGATTATCATAGGATGAATTTACAAGAATATTGGTGTTTTGAGGTATCAAAGGCTAACCTCTAGTCGCTTGATTTGTAGGGTGGCTCATGATAATAATCTTAAAACTTTTTCTGGAAGTTTTTTTTTTTTGCTTTAAAAAAATAGAAGTAGAAATTTGGGATTTTATAACTTTTTTAGTAATGCGTCTGGAATTGAAATACGTCATGAAAAGTCACCAGAAATAATTAATGATATAGTAATTAATTCATTAACTCGGATAGATCCGACAATTCTTGATTATTTAAATCATTTAACTGGAATAAAACTTTATTGTTTCGTACAATAAGTATTATTTATTATCGGTAAGGCGAGAATAATGAAATATTCCTCGGTGGCGCTTGCGCCCATAACCCTATAAAAAAAAATCTCTTGGAATTGTTCGGAAAATTCTGAAATTATCCAATTTTTTGTTCAGAAAATCGACTCC